TAATTTTAGGAATACTATAATATTTATATTGAATTACGCGAATCTTTTTACGGACCATTTTGAAATTTCCTGCTACGGTCCGATGCTATGGACCGCATTTCAAGAACGTCGTTTATTCCACGGTAAAACTTCCACATTGCGTTTATCGCTTGTTTCTCGAAAAGATTTATTTGCACCTTATAATGTCATAGAAGTACCTGCAGTGAAATTTTTCTTTGAACACACATGATCTTCCGACTCCATAAAATACCTTCTGCCAGCATGACTGCATCAGCTACCTAAACTATGCAAAGGTTTCTTTTTAATATTTAGCCATATCAGCTGTTATGCTGATAAGACGGCCTATTAGCTCAGTTGGTTAGAGCGTCGTGCTAATAACGCGAAGGTGTTGGGTTTGATCGCCCTATGGGCCAGTCCGGTTTCATCTTTTTGTCCCATGTCCATTCAATCGGTTCGGTTGCCGTAATGGCATCAAGCACGGGGGCATGGGGCGGCGTTTTGTTATGTTAATATAACAGTTTTTTACTGATTGAATGAACTGTATCCAAGGTCAATTTTCACATTCGAATTAATAAAATGTGCCTAAAGTTTATATAGAATTCTTTAAAGATTTCTTATTGCAGCAAAATATTCAAATATATGTGAACATGCTTTGCGCAATCGTAGCTTGCCAAATGCTGCGTTTAATTGCTAATTATTCTTTCAAAAACAGCATTTTACTATTTTACTTGAAAAGTCTTGATATATTTATTAACAAATTACTGATCACGTGAACAAAAAATGATTAGACATTAGGAAAAAGACCTAATATCGAGTCGTAATATTTTTATACAAATGGTTATTTATTATCACAAATTTTATCTGTTACAAATATAATAGCCTAGATCCTCCGGTAACGCTTTGACGTCACCAACAATAAAACTCGCGCCATAGCACTGCGAGACGTTAAATAGCATTATTTCATTGTTAGATAACCTAAATTTCAGTAATTTTAAATTTGAAAGAGTAATTTTCGTTCTAATTTCAAATTTAATAGCACTAAAATAGTGAAATAAAATTTTCTATCGATTGATATAAAATTTATTTCGCTATGATCAATAGTTCCCGAGAAATTTTAAATTATATTAATCCTATATTTCAAATTAATTTCAGTTTTTTAATGGAAAGTAGTAAATTACGTCAGCGCTATATCATGCGCGTGATATAGTTTAGACGCCAAATTGTATCTGAATGCAATCGTGGCGATGTTGTTTTCTTGCCAAGAATTAAATTAGCCACCAATAACGTGAATCTACCATTCGTTCTCAACCGCCGCCAGTTCCCATTAATTCCAGCTTACACGATGTCTATCAACAAATCGCAAGGGCAAACTTTCGATCATGCTGGAATTTACCTCGATGAGCCTGTCTTTTCACACGGACAGCTCTATGTTGCACTTTCAAGGTCTAGCATTCCCAATCACATTAAAATTTACCCAAAGGCATCTGAAGTACAAGGAAAATTATTAAACAACGAAAAATACTTCACACGGAATGTTGTTTACCAAGAAGGTTTTTTGAATAAAGAAATATTTAAATAATGTATAAATAAAAAAGAATATTTCCTGTCATAAAACATATGTTTATTTTATTTGTTTTCAACCAATGTTAAACATTTCTCTCGCATATATATCTATTGAAACACGTCAAATTTGAAGGGAAATCTCTCGAGTGAAGAGGCAATTTGCACCCGTCAAACCATGACGGGTTATTTTCTAGTTTTTAATAAAGATCCTACGTCGCATGGAGCAAAGACAAGGTTGAAAGGTTGCTGATAAAAGATTTTGCTTCGTAAGCCATGAAAATAAGCCTCATAAATACCT